AGATGCCATCAGGCTGCTGAACAGCTATTTTAAGTGCTGTAGATAAAATATTTTAAGAGATTTCAGAAATATTCTTGCTTATCATCCTCACAAAATATGATTTTCTATTAAACCCTTTGGCTAGCTAAAGATGAACATCCACAACGGAAAATCTTGGTGAGGTGTCCAGATTTTATATCACTGTAAGAAGACCCTGCTGACATTTGATAATTTGAAAGTAAATCCTAATGGATAATATCCACTAGTCATCACATGGACAGTTCTGTTTCTAGACAGGAACAGTTTGCTATCTGCCAAGTTTCGTTTCATAATTTCTACCTCGGGGAAGACAACAATAATTTAGAATATCTATCTGGGTTATAGGACTAATCTCTTTGTCTTGCAATTCAGTTGGTCTTCCTACTCTGAACAGCTATAGTTGTTACTATCCTGCTTATTTTGGTCCTCTCTGAAAACTTGACTTGATGGCCTGTTCACTGACTTTTTCCCCTTCCACCTTGAACTTCTGCTTTCATTACCATTATTCTCCTAGTTTGCCAGTTCTCTTGAAATTTGAAAAACTGTTTGTTTAAATAAGTCTTTGTTTGACTTGGTTGTTTTTAAAAAAAGGAAAAAAAAAGCTAGTCTAACCTTATATCATGCATTCAGTATATTAGAATAAGAGGAAAAAGAAATGGAGTAAGATAAAAAACAAGGTTGATATATTTAAATTTGAAAAAATTATTAATGCTTTTCATTATTAACTTCTGGGTATCTACTTGTCCAACATAGCCACTCTAATTAAGATATTTATTCTTCTCTGCATATTATCAATTAAATGGTAGAGGATACTAGTTTGATATAAGAAACATTTACATGCTTTAAGTAGGTAGATGATCTCATCAAGAAAAATAGTGAAACATTTAATATATTTGTAAAGGAAAACCTTATAATAATTTTTTTTTCATGATCCTCTGATAGTCTTCTTTTGATAGAGTATATGAAAACAAAATCATACTTTTCCTATTTCCCCTTATAATTTCTTTTCTTTCCTCCACTGGCTTCTTTCAATTTTCTATGGCAAAATGTGTTTATAAATATAACTTGTAACCTTAGCCTCTTTGTCAAGATAACCTATCAACACAGAGTGAATAAGAAGGACAAAATATTATTGCATTAGAATTCAGTATGAAGAAGTCAGAGTGGAATAGTACCTTTATTTGAAGAATAATGTGTTTGAAAATCTGACCTAAATTCAATTAATTATCATCACTTAGTAAACAGCAAATGTTATAGAATCTATATTGAATACTCTGCAATTTACAATGACTCTGCATCTCTGAAGTGTTGTTATAGACTACAGATATACTTCATTTATCAGTAATTTCTTGTTCTAATAAGTATCACTTTCTAAAAATATGTTTACGTCAACATGATGCATATTTGGACTCTTTATGTTGCATAGTCCATCATATCTCACATTATACTTTTTTATGATATCTGTTGATGTGGAGTCAGGAGGAAATTGGTATAATTATGTTTGGATGCATTAAAAGTTAGAAGCAGTGAACAATAGTCTTTTACAAATTTAACAAATCGTACAGAAAAGCTCAAGAGAAATCAAGATACTTTTAATTACATGTGGTCCTGATTGTTTGATTTCTGCTTTATTAGTTGGCAATATTGACTTATTTGTCAATAACAGGTCAATATTTGCTGTAAGCTACCAATTTATATAAACAGGAGTTAGTTGTGATGACAGGTAAAAGAGGAATATCGGCAATTTAATATTATCCATTCATTTCCAGTCTCCTGTGAAGACTTGCAAGAGCAAACATTTGTTCCTAGGCTGACCTGAAGACCAAACATTTTTATGAATACTTGCTTATCTGAATACTTCTGGATTATTATTAATTTTTTAAATGCTTTTATGGTCATCTAGAAAATTGTGTTTGGTTATGTAGCTTTCAAAGGCATCCAGACAGAGTAGACGGCTTTAATTAAGAAAAGCCTTGTTATAAGCAATTTATGTGAATAAGCAGAGCAAAGTGAGACGTGCTATAAACCCCAAAAATCAGAGGAAGGCCTTAAAGAAATTTATTTTATAGTTAATTCACTACTAATCAAACTTTTACAGCTGTTCAAAAACAAATACAGAAGATACTTTCCAATAATCTGTGTGTTTTTATCTCCAGGTTTTAACTGGAGATCTTCAAATTCTTCCAGAGAGTGAAATACTGAACTAGTTGATAGACTTTTGTTTTAAGCATCTAATGTGGCATTTCAGTTGACAGGTGTTGAAAATCTTAGGCAGATTAAGAAAACCTGACCTTTGATTCTTGAGGCAACTTTTTTTATCTATTAAGAACTAAAATATTTCACTGCTGCTGGACTTGGTAAATTTACAATTATTAGTAGCTATATGGTGTTAAATGTCGTGTACATATTTGTGTGCATATCTCACTTGGTTTTTCAAGAGTTTGAACACAAGTTTTGCATAACTGATGTGCAAGTTTGTTGGCAGAAATCATGGTATTGATTGGGAAAAGCAACGTTTTACTTGACTTCAGAACGAGGGTTGTTTTTATCCATCTGTTATGGGTTATAAGTTTGAGAGAGGAATTTTTTCCCTTCCCCTGC